GCGCAGCAAGGGTGAGGTCCCTGAGGTGTTGATCGACTGGATCCGCGGTGCTCGTCGCCAGCTTAGTGAGAGTTTCGGCTCAGACCTTCCTGTTATGCTTCTGCACTCGGACAGAGGCGGGGAGTTTTCCTCCGACCTCCTGAGAGCCTTCTGTCGTTCGGAGGGCATCCGCCAGACGTTCACGCTTCCGGCCTCCCCGCAGCAAAGTGGGATTGCTGAGCGCCGCATTGGCATGGTCATGGACGTCGCTCGTACGTCCATGATCCATGCGGCTGCTCCCCATTTTCTGTGGCCGTTCGCGATTCAGTACGCGGCGCATCAGATCAACCTTCAGCCTCGTGTCTCCTTGCCGGAGACCACACCTACTCTGCGGTGGACGGGGAAGGTTGGCGATGCGTCCGCGTTCCGTGTCTGGGGATCTCGAGCTTTTGTCCGCGATACTACTGCGGACAAGCTGTCCTCCCGTGCCGTTCCCTGTGTCTTCCTTGGCTTCCCTCCTGACGCACCCGGGTGGCAGTTCTACCACCCCACCTCGCGTCGTGTTCTGTCCTCTCAGGACGTCACGTTTGACGAGTCAGCGTCGTACTACCGTCTCTTTCCCTACCGCACTGCCTCTCCCCCTCCCCCGCCGCTCTTCCTTGCCCCAGGTACTCCCCCTGTAGACCCCCTCCCCCCCCAGGGTCCTGCCCCCTCAGGTGTCTCCCAAGTAGACCCTGCCGAGCCGGTCGAGGTAGCTGTCGACTCAGGTGCTGAGTCTGGGGGTGCTGCGCCTGCGGGTGCGGGGACTGGGGGTGCTGAGACTGGGGGTGCTGAGTCTGGGGGTGCTGAGTCTGGACGTGCTGAGCCTGGGGGTGCTGAGCCTGCGCGTGCTGCGTCTGGAGGTGCTCTCGGTGTCCCGCCGTGGCGGGAGCCTCTCTCTCCACAGCGGCTTCGTGAGTGGTACTCTCGGCTCTGTCGGGGTACTGCTGGGGCTTCTGGAGGTGCTGCTGGTGCTGGTGCTGCTGGAGGTGCTGCTGGTGCTGGAGGTGCTGCTGGGGCTTCTGGAGGTGCTACTGGTGCTGGTACTACTGGAGGTGCTGCTGGTGCTGGAGGTGCTGCTGGAGCTTCTGGAGGTGCTACTGGTGCTGGTGGTGCTGGAGGTGCTGCTGGAGGTGCTGCTGCTGCTGGAGGTGCTACTAGTGCTGGAGGTGCTGCTGGGGCTTCTGGAGGTGCTGCTGGTGCTGGTGCTACTGGAGGTGCTGCTGGTGCTGGAGGTGCTGCTGGACCTTCTGGACGTGCTGCTGGTGCTGGTGGTGCTGGAGGTGCTGCTGGAGGTGCTGCTACTGCTGGAGCTGCTGGAGGTGCTGGAGGTGCTGCTGGGACTGGAGACCCTGGGGCTGAGGGTACCGGTCCTGTTTCTGCTATTTCTGGAGGCGCTGCGCGGCCGCGACCGTACTACGTTCCGCCCCTTCAGCAGGTTCTTAGCTCACCGCCTTCTCCCGGTCCTCCTCCTTTCCTGAGTCCGCCGCCTGTCCGGTCCCAGTCACAGTTGCAGCCGGCCTCTCCGCTGCCCGGTCCTTACTCTGGACAGACTGGAGGTCTTACGGAGCGTCGTGAGCCTGAGTCTCGTCCTGTGTCGCCTGCGTCTCGTGCTGCGTCGCCTGTCCGTACTGTTCGCGCTGGTCGTGTTTCGCGTCCGCGTCTCCCTCCTGTCCCAGGCACTCACTCTATGACTCTGCGTCCTTCTACTGCTCCACAGCGTGTCCCTCTGCCGTCTCCTCCCGCATCCTCTTTTCCTGCCAGTCCGGACCCGGAGTCTGACTCCCTTCGTGCTGCTAGTCCAGCTGTCACGCGCTTTCTGGCCACTGCTGTCACTGACCCTCTGTTCGAGTCCTCTGTTGCGTCTGCTCTTGTTACTGAGCTTGTTGCCTTTGCTGCTGCCTGTCGCCTAGACTACGCTGCTAGTCTGGTTGCTGCGTCTGTGTCTGTCCGTCCTCCGTCCGTCGGGGGTGAGTGTGCTCTTGGCACGGACGTTCTTGAGGACACACAGGAGGAGTTTGAGTGCTTTGCTGCTTCTGTACCTCATCTCGTGTCCATGCTGCTGGCCCCTGAGGGAGACCCAGATGCACTAGACATCCCGACCCCGCGCTCTTACGCACAGGCGATAGAGGGTCCCTACTCCTCTTAGTGGCAGGCAGCCATGGACGCAGAGATGGCTTCCTGGAAGTCCACAGGCACCTACGTTGACGAGGTTCCCCCACCTGGGGCGAACATCGTCAGTGGCATGTGGATCTTCAGGGTGAAGCGGCCGCCGGGTTCTCCGCCTGCCTTCAAGGCGCGTTACGTTGCACGTGGCTTCAGTCAGCGACAGGGAGTTGACTTCTTTCAGACCTTCTCCCCTACCCCGAAGATGAGCACTCTTCGGGTACTGCTGCACGTTGCTGCTCAGCGTGACTACGAGCTCCACTCGCTTGACTTCAGCACAGCCTTCCTACAGGGCAGCCTGCACGAGGAGATCTGGCTGCGCCGCCCACCTGGCTTCACTGGGTCGTTTCCTGCTGGTACCCAGTGGAGCCTCCGGCGGCCAGTCTACGGTCTCCACCAGGCGCCCCGTGAGTGGCACGACACGCTCAGGACGACTCTTGCTTCTCTTGGTTTTGCTCCTTCCACTGCTGACCCTTCTCTGTTTCTACGCACTGACGCTACTCTGCCGCCGTTCTACGTTCTCGTGTACGTAGACGACCTCGTCTTTGCTACTGCTGACACGGAGGCACTCGCCCACGTGAATTCCGAGCTGCAGAAGAGACACACGTGCACAGACATGGGTGAGCTGACAAGCTATCTTGGCTTGCGGATCACCCGGGACAGAGCACAGCGCACCATTACCTTGACTCAGTCACACATGGTGCAGCAGGTCCTTCAGCGCTTCGGCTTCACGTACTCCTCACCACAGTCCACTCCTCTGCCTACCGGTCACTCGCTCTCAGCTCCACCTTCGGACGAGTCCGTAGAGCCGAGTGGCCCGTATCCAGAGCTTGTGGGCTGCCTCATGTACCTGATGACTTGCACACGACCTGACCTTGCATACCCTCTCAGCCTTCTGGCTCGCTATGTGGCTCCCGGCAGGCACCGAAAGGTGCACTGGGATGCTGCGAAGAGGGTGTTGCGATACTTGTGCAGTACATCGGGCATGGGGCTCGTGCTTGGAGGACGGGCTCGAGTTGTTCTCACTGGTCACGCTGACGCCTCCTGGGTTGACGACTTGGCTACGCAGCGGTCGTCACAGGGCTACACCTTCAGTCTTGGCTCCGGTTCTGTCTCTTGGCGGTCTACCCGCTCTTCTTCAATTCTCAGCTCCAGTTGTGAGGCTGAGATCTACGCTGGGGCCATGGCTGCACAGGAGCTACAGTGGCTTACCTACTTGCTGACCGACTTGGGAGAGGCGCCTCGTTCTCCTCCAGTTCTGTACGTCGACAACAAGGCCATGCTGGCCTTGTGTCAGGAGCACAGACTGGAGCACAGAACGAAGCACATTGCTCTGCGCTACTTCCTTGCTCGAGAGTTGCAGCAGCGTGGCCAGCTTCGTCTTGCGTACGTGGCCTCTCAGGCCAACACTGCTGATGTTTTCACCAAGGCACTTCAGCCTTGTGATCATCAGCGTTTCTGCACTGTGTTAGGCCTTGTACCTACTTTTCCTCACTTGCTTTCTGCCTGACTCTGCCTGTACTGTACTCTTTATACATATACCTGCATGCTTACTCTTGCTAGGTTTTGTTCTGTTTATTGTTTGTTTTCTTTTATATGACTCTGCATATGAACTGGCCTTGTGGCCATTTGCTTGTGCTCAGACTGCGTGGTGACTTTGTGATCCACCCTGAGCTTGCTTTGTCTTTCTTGACTGGTCTTGTGACCTCTTGTTCTCCCCCACTTTGCCTATGGGGGTGTGTCAAACTTATATCTGCTATAGTCTGTTTAGGCTGTAGTGGGGTAGTTCTTAGAGGGTACAACACTTTTGTGTTCTCTACTTGTACCCATCTCGTTCCTAGTTCAATCATTCCATTCTCGATTCTCACAACCCTTCCATAGGATCAATCGGGGATCACCAGTGAACCTCTGACACCCCCCCGCACTGGGATGCCTGAAGTGCACACACTGGGATTCGAACTTGAGACCTTCGCTCTGATACCATGTCAGAATCCCAACCAGTAGACTATTGGGATAAAAGGGCTTTTTAAGTAGCGGGTCAGTGCGCCCATAACCCCCCAGGCCAACATGCCTGTAACCCTTCCCTAGGATCAATTGGGGATCACCAATGGACCTCTGACACCTCCAGTACCTCCAGTACCTCCAGCTCCAGCGCCTCCAGCACTAGCAGTACCTCCAGCACCTCCACTGCCAGCAGCTCCGGTAGCACCTCCAGCACGTGTTAGAATTCCTATGTTCTAGCATGCTGACACTTGTGACTGTACACCAATTGTGGTGTACGGCTGGGTTGGGACTACACCCAACTTTGGGTATAGTCTTGCATTTTGGGGTGTCAATCCAACCCAATTGTGGTGGAGTCCCCAAATGCAACCCTATGGGCCATAGGGTACCCCACTTCACAAAGTGAGGCCAACCCAACCCATTGGGCCATAGGGTACCCCACTTCACAAAGTGAAGCCAACCCAACCCATTGGGCCATAGGTTGCCCCACTTCCCAAAGTGTGGTCAAACCAACCCAATGGGCCAAAGGTTGGCCCACTCCCCCAATCCCACCTTCCTCCTTTTCCCTTCCAACCTTCTCTTCCAAACCTATTTATGCTTGTCCTTCTCTCTAATGAAGTCAACCATTCTTTTTCAAATCTTCGCATGGTATAGAGCTAAATCCTTCCCGAGGCAACCTCCTCCCCCTCCATTTATTTTTTTTCCCAAGGGCCCACCATCCGCTTCCCTAACGACGCAACCCTGCAGTCGCCCCAGTCCCCCTCCCCCTTCCCATCTCGGCGTTTTTCCCGTCGCGGCTTTTTCAGCCGCCGCCCATGCCCTTTCGCCACGGATTTCGCCGCCAGCGCCTTCCCGCCCGCGCATTTCACCGCCGTGACCGCTACGTCGTCGCCCTCTACTTTCGCCACCGTGACCCTTCCGTCGCCGCCTGCCCTCCCGGCCGCCGTGACCCTTCCGCCGCCGCCTGCCCTCCCGTCCGCCGTGACCCTTCCGTCGCAGCCTGGCCCTCCTCACAGCCGCGACCTGCTTCGTCGCCGCCTGCCCTTCCAGCCGCCGCGACCTCTCCCGTCGTCGCCTGCCCCCCCCCCCTTTTTTCCGCCGCGCGACATTTCGTCGCCGGCTACCTGTCCCGCCGCCGCGACCTCTTCTTCGCCAGCTGCCTGTCCCGCCGCCGCGACCCTTTGTCACCACCTGCCCATTCCCTCCCCGCGGCCATTTTTTTGCCGCTTGCGGTTCCCGCTGCCGCGACTGCAAATCGTCGCCTGCACACACCACCGCCGCGATTTCCGCCAGTTCCGCCGCAATTCCCGTCGCCACAACTGCGCCCCCGTCTCCGGCGATTTCCGCGGCTGCGACTGCGTCGTCGCCGCCTCCCATTCCCGCCGCCGCGACCACCTCGTCGCCGCCTGCTCACCCCCGTCCTCGCGACCCTGTCGCCTCCCCCCCCCCCCCTGCGCATTCCACCTCCACTCCATTCTCTCCCTCCTCCTCTCCTTCCCCCCTCTCCTCGCAGCTGCGGCAGCAGCAGCAGCACGGAAGGGAGGGCAGGAACCTGGGAAGGCTAGAGACAAGGAGACGGGAGTGCATGCTGCGGAGACGCGGCAGGGAGGGGTGACCGAGGCGGTGGTGCCATAGGAGAGTCTGGCGGGAGAGTACCCGACACGAGCAAGACGCTGCAAGCTGATCAGATGCAGACACCTGACTCGACGCAGCCACCTGACCTGCCTCAGCCACCTATGCAGACGCAGTGGTCAGTGTGTACAGACTAAACCCAGGCCGTCGAGTGAAAGTAGCAAGGTGACGGCCAGTCCGGGAGCACGTACAGATCGCCACACGCTGCCCTTCAGGAATAAAGGTATCAACCCAGACATCCTGAATGGCAGCGTTGCTCACCATGTTCATCGAGAACGTGGGGAGGTGGATGTTAGAATCTAGCTTGACTTAGGAGCCATAGCTAGGTTAGAGTGTCGATAGAAATGAGTGTCGAGAGGGATGATGTCACTAGCAAGAGTTGGGATACAAATACAACACCCTAAATTGGGTTGTACTCACTACAGAGTACCCCACTGCAGGCTAGACAGCAAATATATTCTGACACACCCCCATAGTCAAAGTGGGGTATAATCAGCAGAGCAAGCAGTCATAGAGCAGGTTCACAAGTACAAGCAAAGCTAGAGGCATACACAAAGGGCAAGTGAGGAGGAGGCTGGACTGTGAGAGGAGAGGAGATAGGAGGCGACTGCTGATGCTGCAGACACACGGGCAACAGGAGCGGCGCGCACTGTGGCTACCGGAGCAAGGGCCCCGGACTACAGGAGTAACTGGCTCTGCGGCTAACTCTGAGCGGCAGGAGCAACGGACCCACGGGCGACAGGCGCAGCAGGCTCTCTGAGCTACCAGAAGCAGAGCCCCGGACTACAGGTGCTGCGGACGACAAGACGGCAGCCTCCGCTCAACCTCCCCCAACTGTCCCACCCCCCTTTCACACACCCCTTGCTGCACCCCTAGCTCCACTCCCACTTCACCCCCCTAGCACCACTCCCTTGGCTCCCACACACCCACCCCCCTCATCGGCAGTTGCAGCAGTGGGAGACGGAGGAGGAGGAGGAGCAGGGGACGGTTCACACACCCGCCACCCCCATACCCTCCCCCCACTACTGCACCTGCAGCAGGGGATGGAGGAGAAAGGGGGGGGGGGGGGGGGGGGGGGGGGGGGCGGGGGGGGGGGGGCTGTGCATGGCGCGTGCAGAGGGCAGCAGGGCGCACGGGGCGCACAGGGCAGCAAGGCGCACAGGGCAGCAGGGCAGCAGGGCAGCAGGGCGCGCGGGGCGCACAGGGCTGCAAGGCGCGCGGGGCGCACAGGGCAGCAGGGCGCACAGGGCTGCAGGGCAGCAGGGCGCGCGGGGCAAACAGGGCAGCAGGGCGCACTGGGCTGCAGGGCAGCAGGGCTGCAGGGCAGCAGGGCGTGCGGGGCGCGCAGGGCTGCAGTGCGCGCAGGGCGCGCATGGCAGCAGGAAAGCAGGGCGCGCAGGGCTGCAGGGCAGCAGGGCGCGCAGGGCTGCAGGGCTGCAGGGCGCATGGGGCGCAGCAGGGCTGCAGGGCGCGCGGGGCGCGCAGGGCAGCAGCAAGGGCTGTAGCGGCAACACCAAGGGCTGTAGCGGCAGCAGCAGGGCAGCAGGGCGCACAGGGCTGCAGGGCGCGCGGGGCGCACAGGGCAGCAGGGCAGCAGGGCGCACAGGGCTGCAGGGCAGCAGGGCGCGCGGGGCAAACAGGGCAGCAGGGCGCACAGGGCTGCAGGGCAGCAGGGCGCACAGGGCTGCAGGACAGCAGGGCGCGCGGGGCGTGCAGGGCTGCAGTGCCCGCAGGGCGCGCAGGGCAGCAGGACAGCAGGGCGCGCAGGGCGCGCAGGGCTGCAGAGCGCGCGGGGTGCACAGGGCAGCAGGGCAGCAGGGCGCGCGGGGCGCAGCAGGGCTGCAGGGCGCGCGGGGCACGCAGGGCAGCAGCAAGGGCTGTAGCGGCAACAGCAAGGGCTGTAGCGGCAGCAGCAGGGCAGCAGGGCGCACAGGGCTGCAGGGCAGCAGGGCGCGCGGGGCGCGCAGGGCTGCAGGGCGCGCATGGGCAAACAGGGCAGCAGGGCGCACAGGGCTGCAGGGCAGCAGGGCGCACGGGGCTGCAGGGCAGCAGGGCGCGCGGGGCGCGCAGGGCTGCAGTGCGCGCAGGGCGCGCAGGGCAGCAGGACAGCAGGGCACGCAGGGCTGCAGATCCCCTCCCCCCACCGCTGCACCCGCAGCAGGGGGATGGAGGAGAAGTGGGGGGGGGGGGGGGGCTGATGCTGCAACTCCCCTCCCCCCACTGCTGCTGCAGATCCCCTCCTCCCCACTGCTGCACCCGCAGCAGGGGTGGAGGAGAAAGGGAGGGGCGGGGGGGGCTGGTGCTGCAGATCCCCTCCTGCCTCCCTCTGAACCTCCAAGCTCCCCCCCCCTCCCAACACAGGGTGCGGCAGGGAGAGAGAGAGGAGAAAAGGGCGGGAGGGGGGGGGGGGCTGATGCTGCAAATCCCCTCCCCCCACTGCTGCTGCAGATCCCCTTCCCCCCACTGCTGCACCCGCAGCAGGGTTGGAGGAGAAAGGGGGGGGCGGGGGGGGGCTGGTGCTGCAGATCCCCTCCTGCCTCCCTCTGAACCTACAAGCTCCCCCCCCTCTCCCAACACAAGGTGCGGCAGGGAGAGATAGAGGAGGAGGCGCGGCGGCAGCTGCTGCTGCTGAGGCACATCCCCCACCCCCTCACACCCTCTCCCCCCCGTCCCCATGGAGGAGGGGGAGGGGGGGGAGGGGGGCGGGGGCGGAGCTGCGCGTGCGACTGCAGGGCATGTGGGCAGGAAGTCATCACCCCTCTTGCCATAGCTAGGGGCGACGAGGCCAGTGGGGCCGAGGGGCGCGGCTAGGTACGGGGCCGGGCGCTGGGCTAGGGACGGGGCCGGGTGGCGCGAGGCTAGGTATGGGGCCGGTCGCTGGGCAAGGGACGGGGCCGGGCGCTGGGCAGGTACGTGGCCGGGCGCTGGGCAGGTACGGGGCCGGGCGCGTGCTAGGTACGGGCCGGTCGCGGGCTAATTATGGGCCGGGCGCGGGCTAGGTACGGGCCGGGCGCTGGGCGAAGGACAGGGCCAGGCACGGGCTCGGTACGGGCCGGGCGCGGGCTAGGTACGGGGCCAGGCGCGGGCAAGGTACGGGCCGGGCGCAGGCTAGGTACGGGGCCAGGCGCGGGCAAGGTACGGGCCGGGCGCGGGCTAGGTACGGGGCCAGGCGTTGGGCGCGGAACGGAGGCTGGGCGCGAGGCTAGGTACGGGCCGATCGCGGGCTAGGTACGGGGCCAGGCGCGGGCGAGGTACGGGCCGGGCGTGGGGCTAGGAACGGGGCCGAGCGCGGGCTAGGTACGGGCCGATTGCGGGCTAAGTACGGGCCGGGCGCGGGGCGACGGAGTCGACGGGGCCAGCGGGGCCGAGGGGCACAGCTAGGGACGACGCCAAGGGGCGACGGGGCCAAGGGGCCGAGGCGACGGGGCCAAGGGGCCGAGCCTAGGGGCTAGGGGCGACGCCAAGGGGCGACGGGCTGGGGCCTAGGCTAGCAGGGCAGTAGGTGGTGGGCCCATTAAGATTAGGTCCTAGGAAATTGTTGCTCTTAATACCATGTTAGAATCTAGCTTGACTTAGGAGCCATAGCTAGGTTAGAGTGTGGAGAGAAATGAGTGTCGAGAGGGATGATGTCACTAGCAAGAGTTGGGATACAAATACAACACCCTAAATTGGGTTGTACTCACTACAGAGTACCCCACTGCAGGCTAGACAGCAAATACATTCTGACAGTGGAGACCTGACATAGATCCGGAGGGGACTGCTGGACACAGGAGGACAGTGGAGGCTCGTGCGACTACTGGGCCCCCAGTGGGGTCAGCCAGTGAGACTGGAACCGGTGCAGCAAGTGGTATGAGTGTGGTGCAGTCACGAAAGAAGCAACGTGACGCGCCTGAGTCAAGTGTGAAAGTGTGCAAGGCCTCAGCTGAGGAAGGACCTGTGGTGGGAGACACATGAGTACCTAAAGCTGCAGCAGACTCACTAGCATCTGGAGCAGCAGCAGACTCACTAGAACCTAGTGCGGCAGCAGATTCACTAGCACCTAGTGCGGCAGCAGACTCACTAGTACCTAGTGCGGCAGCAGACTCACTAGCACCTAGTGCAACAGCCTCGACAGAACCAGTGACACATCGCTGAGGAACCAACCAACTCACTAAGATCCTGCGGGGAGAAGGTCTCCTACTGAATCTGCTACCGCCTCTGTGCAGTACACAGAATTCCGAAGCCCCCACCACCTGGACGGGCTCGTTGAAGAACCCACTCGTGAAGCTGCTGAGGGGTGGGGTCGTCCGGGAGAGGTAGTGACCGCCGCTGTCCACCCCTAGCCGCTGCAACTGCCGTGATAGTGGCCATGACAGGCAGTAACGGTCAGTAGTAGGTCCAGCACCTCCAGCACCAGCAGCACCTCCAGCACTCCCAGTCGCACCTCCAGCACCTCCAGCACCAGCAGCACCTCCAGCACTCCCAGTCGAACCTCCAGCACCTCCAGCACCAGCAGCACTCCCAGCACTCCCAGCAGCACCACCAGCAGCAGCAGCAGTAGTAGCAGCAGGGCGGCTCGGTGGGGCTGGTGATCGCTGTAGGGCGGCGCGGCTCGGGTTGGACACGGCGGCTCGGGCTGGGCGGCGCGGCTCGGTCGGGCTGGGCGGAGCGGCTGGGCAAGGCAGGGCACGCCGCGGGCTGCAGGGCAGGGCGCACGGTGGACAAGGCAGCAGGGCGCGCGCTGTGCAGGGCAGCAGGGCGCGACACGCTGGGTAGCAGAGCGCGACGCGTGGGCTGCAGTAGGGCGCGACGCGCGGGCTACAGCAGGGCGCGACGCGCAGGGCAGCAGGGCGCGACGCGCGGGCTGCAGCAGGGCGCGACGCGCGGGCTGCAGCAGGGTGTGAAGCGCGGAGCAGTAGAGCGCGACGCGTGGGGCAGGAGGGCGCGACGCGCGGGCTGCAGCAAGGCATGACGTGCAAAACAGTGGGGCACGCGCTGGGCAGGGCAGCAGGGCGCGACGCGCTGGGCTGTAGGGCAGGGCAGTGCGGCTCGCGAGCTGCAGGGCAGGGCGGCGCGCGGGCCTAAGGGCAGGGCAGCGCGATGCACGGGCTGCAGGGCAGTTGGCGCGGGCTGCAGGGCAGGGCGGCGTGCGCTGGGCAGGGCGTGACTCGAAGGCTGCAGCAGGGCGCGATGTGCGGGTGGCAGGCAGTGCGAGTAGCTGCAGGGCAGCGCGACACTGTGCGAGCAGGGCCGGACAGCGCAAGGGCGCTTCGGGCAGGAACGAGCGGAACTATCGGTGCTCTGAATACCATGTCAGAATAACAGTGCAGGTGTTATGACTGCAATTGAGCGAGCGAGCCAGAATTGCACTATTGAAGCAAAACAATACAATGAGCGAAGGCATGCGCGAAGAATATATAGCGAACTAGAGTGGTAACGGTAACACGAGGAATTGGGGTGCGCTACGGGCCTAGCGCAGAGGTTGGGAATTGTCGAGGCGGAGGTCCGGAGTGCTGGTTACCAACCGAACCGTGAGGTTGGGTCGCGTCGTGAATAGTGGCGGGAGTCGTGGTCGAGGCGAGTGTCGCGAGTGGGTAACGGTTCACTTTTTGGGTGCCGATGGCGGGAATGGTCTTGAACGCGGTAAGCAGGGGCGAGAAGTAAGGAAAATGATTTTTCCTTACACTACCCCCCTCCCCAAGGAGGCCCTCCTTACAAGAGTGCGTCTACATCTCGAAAATTTTGACTGCGCAGATACTCTGTGAGGACAGGGTGATTCTCAATTCTATCCAAGGGAACCCAGTTGTCTTCGGTGGGCGTGCGGTCTTTCCAGCGGATCAGGAATTCGATCCCGCGGGCTCCCCTTGGGTCACGTACTCGGTGGCTCAATATTTTTTTGGGCGTGATGATTGGTTCTTTCGGCGGTCGTGTCATGCTGGCGGGGCGGTTGCGAGGCAGTTGGCTGGTGGATGGTACGTATGGGTGAAGCAGGCTAACGTGGAATGACGGGCTGACGTTCCAGTCAGCAGGGAGGAGGAGGTGGGCGGTGACGGGTGTGATCATGTGGCTGATGCGAAATGGCCCGCAATATTGGGGGCGGAGTTTTGGGGTGATGGGCAGGCGGAGGTTTTGAGTATCGAATAGCACGAGGTCGTCGGGCTGGTAAGTGACGGGTCGGCGGTGGCAGTCGATGTTACGCTTAGCGATGATGTTCGATTTTTTTATTGCGTCTGCTGCTCGGGTCCGTGCTGCTTGTAAGATCTCTTCGAACTGTTGTGCGCGTGGCACCGGGTTGTCGGGATTCGGAGTCATGAGTACTGTGGGGTCTTGTCCGTAGTTCAGGTAAAACGGTGACTGTTGGGTCGTGGTGGATGGCGAGCTGTTGTACGCGAACTCAATGAGTGGCAGTTGCTGTTCCCTGGTGGTCGGGTCGTTGCCTATGGCTCGGATGAGTTGCTCCATGGTCTGGTTTGTCCGTTCTGTCTGTCCGTCGGTCTCGGGGTGGTATGAAGAACTGAACTGTAGTCCCGTGCCGAACTGCTGCCACAAGTCCCGCCAGAAGTTGCTGATGAACTTCGTATCGTAGTCGCTGATGATCGATGCTGGTATCCCATGTAATCGAACGACGGTGGAGATGAAGAGGCAGGTTGTTTCTTCGGCTGTGATCGTTTTTTTGCAGTCTGCGAAATGTGCCATTTTCGTCAGCCGATCGACGACGACCAGGATCGCGTCGTTCCCACTTGCTCTAGCCGGTAACTCCATGACGAAGTCCATCGTCACCTCCTGCCAAGCACGCTCTGGGGGTGGTATCGGCTGCAACTGCCCTGCCGGTCATTGTCGTGATGACTTCATGAGTTGACAGGTGGGACACGATGCCACGTATCGTTGCACGTCGGTCAGCATTTTGGGGCAGTAGTAATACCGCTGCAGCTGCTGCCGTGTTTTCTCTACTCCGAAATGTCCTGAGGTAACCCTGTTGTGTGCCTCCTATAGTAATAGCTCCCTTAGTAAAGTGTAGCCTAGTACCCAGATGCGGTCGGTGCCACCTTTTACGTAATAAACCCCTTTTGCTGCTGTAAACTGCTGCGAATTTCCACCTGTGAAGAACGGGTCGGTTAGATAGCCGTGGGTAAATAGTCTTGTTAATAGCGGACTGGTCTGTGCGAATAGTATGGTGTGGATTTGGGCAGTGGGGCGGGTCAGTGCGTCGGCAATGTTCGAGGCTCCTTTTTTGTAGGTGACCATGTAGTGGAAATTTGACTCGAGGAAACCGAGCCAGCGAATTTGTCGTGGGTTGAGGTGGGGTTGTGCGCGTAGGTATTGAAGTGATTTGTGGTCTGTCCGTACTGTCACGTCTGCGCCGGTCAAGTAACAGCGCCACACTTTGAACGCATGCATGATCGCTAGCATTTCGCGGTCGTGTATTGGGTAATTCTTCTCGGGCGGATGCAGTTTTCGTGACTCATATGCGATTGTCAGAAGAATGAACGAGAATGAATGAACTATGAAAGAGTTGGGTACAAGTACTAACCCTAATTGGGTTGTACCCCTTATGGGCTACCCCACTATAGCCTACACAAAGTAAGCAGCGTAACATTTTGACACACCCCCATAGGCAAAGTGGGGGAGAACAAGTGGTCACAAGACCAGTCAAGAAAAGCAAAGCAAGCTCAGGGTGGATCACAAAGTCACCACTCAGTCTGAGCACAAGCAAATGGCCATAAGGCCAGTTCACATGCAGATTTATATAAAAGAGAACAAACAATACAGTGATCATACCCTAGCAAGTGTAAGCATGCAGGTATATATATAGATCACACTACAAGTAAAGTCACGAAGTGAGCGAGGCAAAGTAGGAAAAAGACCTAAAATAGTAGAGAAGCGCCTTGGTGAATATATCAGCAGTGTTGGCCCTAGTGGCCACGTACGCAAGATGAAGCTGACCACGCTGCTGCAACTCTGTTGCAAGGAAGTATCGCAGAGCGATGTGCTTCGTTC